CATTGGATGGGAGGGCGTCCCACAGGGAGGGTGCCACAGCCGAGAAGGATGTTAAAGCAGCGTTTTTATAACTTCTGGTGATGTACCTGCTTTGTGAAGTCTTTGCTCACATTCCTGTATAGGAACAGATGTATAGGAACAGTTAGAATTGTAGCTGATAAAATTAGTAACGCCACTCTGTTGCTTCACAGCACTGTCCACACCCAGGGGTGCAATTTAGGTAGGCCGGGCAGACAGTGTCCTTGTGTACTGTATAATCATGCCAAAGCCCCCAATCCTTCTGTTTAGACACAGGTGACTATTTGTCTTTTGTTGACAGTACTGCTAAAGTTATCTAGGTGTAAAAGAAAAAGATTGCAACAGATGTTCTTAGCATACATTGGGGGGGGGGTTGTTTTGCTTTTTTCCCAAAATTGTACCCTTTGAACCTCATTGAATTCCTCTGCAACCCTGCATACACACACAGCTAAAATCTCCTGTGCCGAATCTTCCCAGTCTCAAATGGTGCTGCTGTTCCTCAGTCACCAAGTGTTAACTGCAGGCATAAAGGTAGCCTTTGCTCTTCACAGACTGCTTGTGTGAGAACAGCCCACTTTGCACAGGCTAATAAACCAGACTAATAAACCAGTACTAGTGGCTCTCTGGGAATAGCACTGGTGGCATGTTTTTCTTCTTGATTATAATTTATTTTCAGTTTCTGCCCACGATGATGAAATATACTGGACTCCATAGGAGATACACAATAACAGTGCAATTACCTCCTATTTGCCATGTTGACTGATTACCCCCTGAGCTAGCCTCTTAACACTATTGAGAACATGAATATGAACATGATTGTAGAAATGCACACCTGTCTTACTGTTTCAGCTTGGAAGGAAAAAGCAGCAGGAGCTTTTAACAGTGTGACCGTATACATGCCTACTCTGAAGTAAGCCCCAGGGAGTTCAGAAGGGCTTACTTCCAGGTAACTACAGAATTGCAGCCAAAGACCTGGATTCAGCTAATGAGTCCCACTAGCGGAAGCCCCAGTGCAAGGTCCCCACCACCAGCAGTTGGCTTCAGGAGGGTTGAGCAGATCCCCAGAATAGCATGCAGCAGGGAGGAGGGAGGAGATTGTTTCATCTAGCAAGCTGGAATGCTTGTACTGACAGAACAATCTACTTAGTGTATGCAGAATTCCTCCCTAAATATGTTCCTAAAATTCCAATTTATTATAGGTGCTAATTTAGCTGAAGGCTAAAGGGAGTGTAAGAACCAGAAGCTCAAACAGAAGATTTTTGGGAGTGAGTTTTTTCCAGCTGTTAACATTCTGGCATAGTTATAGGAGCAAGGAGCCTCACTAGGTTTAAAACAGACTCTGATCAATTTATGAATGACGCAGCGTGGCTCCTTCTCTGGTCTTTTGGGTTCAAGGAGGATTCCCCTTTATCTCTCAGTTGAACACCTCCCTGCCCTTTTCATGTGCCCTCTAGCACTACAGCTAGAGAAACTAGGTTGACTACCCATCTAAATTTCTTTTGAGGTGATTTGATATATGAACTTCTCAGGACAAATATACAGAGATGGTGACGATGTGTGTGTGTGTGTGTGTGTGTGTGTGTGTGTGTGTGTGTGTTGTTTTGGGTGGAGCCACATTAGATTGCTCCCCCCCCCAAGTGCTAGAGTAAGGGTTCACATTAGACCAGACACAAGTGTTTGTTAAAACAAGCCACCACAACTCCATTGACTACAGAGAAGTAATCAGAATTGGCATGGCACAGGAGTCTTCAAGTTCCCCCTTCCTTCTGAGGGAGTGGGTCACTGCGAGAGGGTCTTCTCATTTGTGGTGGCCTGTTTGTGGAATTGTTCCCCAAGGTAGGGTCACCTGGTATCTCAAATGATCTATTTTTATATTGTAAACCGCCCTGTGATCCTTTGATGAAGGGTGGTATAGCAATATAAGAAATAATATTAACAATATCTTTTTTGTCTGCCAGTCAAAGCCTTTTTATTTTCCCAAGCTTTGGGTAGCTGAAGTATTTCTGCTTGTTTTATTGATCCTTCCTTTTACTCTGCTTTTTTAATCTGTTGCCTTGAACATTTTAATTGAAGAATATTATAAAACGATTTCAATCCACTAAATAAATAAACAAACAAACCACAATGGCGCCCATTCATTCAGTACTGGTAGATAGGATGGCCAAAAAGGAATGGTTTGCTGTGGACAGTCCATTTTTCAGAAGCTCCTCCATGTCAACTTGTACCTTTTGTGTTCCAGTTCTTCCCTTCTGCTAATCTGATATGTGATGACACTACTCTGATCTGCTGCTTGGTGTTTGGCCATATAAACACTTCTGACAGGAGCTAACAACATTGGTGCTAAACCACACTGCCCCCAAAAATAATAGTCATGTATATGAGATTTAAACCCAAGCCTCAGAAGTTCAGCCAAGGAATAGAAGCGACATGTGACTTTTAAAGTTAGCACTCCCTACTTTGTACTGTATAATCCAGTAGCAGAGGAATTACTCAGCAAATTGTGAATAACCCAGACAACAATAATGGAAGTGGAGATGACATTAGTCAGATTTGTTTATTTATTGTGACTCACGCGCTTGTAGAGAGAGGGTTCCTGCCCTGCTGTCAAGCAGTCAAAGCACAGAATTCTGAAAGCTTCCCTGGCGAGCAGAACCTCCTCTTCCAGAATAAGCACTGGCGTTGCTGAGTGAATCAAATGGGCCTCCAGAGGCAACATCTTGCTAAAAGCTGCATCGCGTGTGACAGGGGCATTAGGACAGACGTAAAGGAGAGTGTCTTTGTCAGACGTTGTCATCGTGTTTCTGTCTGGCATTCCTAACCTGTATGAAAACCGTGTTCTGAGGTTGCTGGTGCAGATACAGGAGCGATAAAAGGAAGTTGGCCAAAATGTGTGTTGCTTTATTAAAGGCTGTATTTACAACTGTAATTCTTTCCAGGTAAACATCACTTTACTGGACATTAATGATAACTACCCCGTGTGGAAGGATGAGCCATACTTCATTAACTTAGTAGAGATGACTCCTCCAGACTCGGATGTCACAACGGTATGTGCTGGTGGTGAGGGGGAAAACAAACCCATGATTCTTTCTGTGGTTCAGAACCACCATTTTAATGTATTATATAGATGTGCAGATTTATTTATTTTTAAAGCAGGTATGAAATAAAAAGTAATTGGCACACATAGTCTGCAGGTGTGTTTGGCCCACTTTACCCAAAAGAAATACTCATAAACACTGTTCTGATGTTGCATGGGGGCCCAGGGGGGCTTACAGAAGAAGGGATAAGCACACACAGACCAACAGAAGCAGTTCACCTGGAGGGGTGGAGCCACAATGCTAACTTCCCAGCAGCTGTGTTGCTGCTGCTTACTGGGAGGGGGAGAGATCAGGGCTCTGCAGAGGCACTTGTGAAGCCAATCAGGCATTCCCACTGACTTCCTCATTACCACATCACTTCCCCTTCCGGTAAGCATCATTGCTTGTTCAGATATATTTGCTCAGAAGCAAGACTCCTCGAGACTCTCGGGTAAGTGTGCCTAAGGTTACAGCCTCATTCTCTTAACTTTGGATTTTGGAGGCTTGGTTGTGGTTGCTCACTGGCGATGCAAACACATTTTGAATATGGGCAGAAGCATTCCCTCCCGTGAATACAAAGAGACAGTGCCTGTTAACAGGCTGTGAGAGTCGCTGCTTCCAGGACCTGACACTGGGTTCTTACACATCTTCCAGGGCCTGATATTAGTGCAATTCAGGTACAAATAAGTGTTAAAGCCAGTTTTCTATTCTGGTAATTAAAGTGCCGTGGCAACATAAGAAGTTGAATTTCCCTGGATAAAGGCCGGTCAGTAGATAGCCATTTTTAATTCTATGTTTCAGAATGTACTGATAGAATAGGGGTAGAGATGCTTAGATTAGGAGCTGATGGATTGTCCTTCATTAACCAATGAGAATGCATTGCTAGCTATCCCTCTTCTTATATTTGATTGTTGACTCTTGCATTGGAAACAGGTTACATGGCTGGTCCAGAACTCCTGATGGCAGAAATATAATAAAATAAAAGCAGTAAATCCCATATTCATTTTCACAGCTTTCCTTGCTTTTGAGTGGCATGCAGTGAAAATAAATTATTGAATGTTACTATTATCCATTAAGGAGGAAGGGGAATCAACAGAAGGTGTGATAGAAACCAAGAATGGTCAGCTGGTGGTCTGCAGGTAACACCAGGCGCATACACAAAAAGATCAATGTACAAAACGTTTTGTCAGGGAACTGCTCATGATGTCCTCTGCACACCGGCCAATAGAGAGCCCTCTGTCATTCTGCATCACAGCACCTCTGGCCCCAATGGTCTGTGAGAGCTGCTGCTTGTGGGGCCTGATTCTGCCTGCCTTTACGCTGCTTAATAGAAGCAGACACAGCTAGCGTATCCATGCAGGGAGACCACTGCCTTATCCCCAATAATCCTAGGTGCTAGAGTAGGTTCTATTGAACCAAAACAAACTTTTTTTTTCCCTGAGTAGACATGGTTAGGTTCTCACTAGCTAGGCTGCAATCCTAGTTCAGGAATGCCTGCCTGCTTTTGAATTTGCTGCAGCAATTACAGTGGGAAATAAAGCACTATATCAAGGGCCATGTGCTTCCACCTGATTATGGAAGAGCAATGCTTCAGCAGCCCCAGAGGACCCTGTTGTGGAAAGGACCTTACAGCAAAGATTGGCCCATTCCTTAAGAGCTTCACTTATTTGGGGTTTGTTTTTGTTTTTTTGTTATTTAAAGCATTTTTGCCCTACTCTAAAAGAGTCCCCTACACACACACTTTCACCACACATGCACCCAAATGTACAAGGCTGGCAGGCCCTAGTCTAAATTCGTCAGTCTGAGGTTTGTGAACAAATACTTGTCGGAAGGATTACGGCCCTTTATTTTATTTTTAACATAACGACCAATTCATCTTGCTGTAAAGACGTGTGGATTGCCAGTAACTGTTAGCGATGATTATTTATTTATTGCAATTAAAGGCGTAGCCTCTGTAAGGTTAGCGATAAAACAGTTTGCAATAAAGCAAAATTGCAAGCGACATCAATCATGAACTGGCCGTTTAACCCTCTTTTGCTTCATCTGCAACCATTCCCAGTCCTTCACTGGGGAGTTTGGGCATCAGGATTTCAACTGGAATACAAGAGCAGGCTTATAACCAGTAATAACATAGGTCAGCAGATGGCATACACCTTATTTAGTACAGTGGTTTTCAAACTTATCTTACAGTGGTACCTCGGTTTACGAACTTAATTCGTTCCGGAAGTCCATTCTTAAACCAAAGCGTTCTTAAACCGAGGCACGCTTTCCCTACTGAGGCCTCCTGCCCTTGCAGTGCCCTTCCACTGTTCGGCTTCCGTACATCTTCCGAGGCAAAGTTCGTTAACCGGAACACCTACTTGCGGTTTTGTGGAGTTCGTACACCAAATAGTTCGTTAGCAGGGCTGTTCGTAGACCGAGGTACCGCTGTATAGGGAACCTCAGAATTTCTTAGAAACTTAACAGAGTTCCTTAATGGAGAGGGGTATACGCTCCTTTCGTGATCGGAAATGGTAAAGTTCCAATATGTCTGGTTAATGCTGGCATGAACAAAGCGTGTCCCTTAAAGCGTAGCACAGAATCCTATGTGACCCACTAAGGTTCCGTGAAAGATGAGCAGGTAGTTTTTCTCAGCAGACAAATCAATATATAGGAGGTTTCCTGAAGGGGGTAGAAAAAGAAAAGGCTAGTGGTATGTATTTATTTAGTCATATGAAGACTGTGACAGTCGCTGCATCCCCCCCCCCCCACTCCACGCTGGTATTCATTGGATTCTGAAGCACCTAGGCTACATAATTTATTCCACATCCAGTTCCTGTACCATGAACTCTGTTTCCTCTGCTGTAGTTCTGGACCTTAAGGTGATTTGGAAGGCATAAAATCATAGTCCTCACATTGCACTCGCAGTTCCCATCCTTTTGCAAACATGGCACAGTCATTCATATTGTGTGTGTGTGTGTGTGTGTGTGTGTGCATGCATTAGGGTTGCCTCCATGTGTTTTAAAGTAAAATTTTGGGCCAATTTCAACTTTCCCAGCCTTGCTTGCGACCTCCTTCAAGGACCTCTCTGAAAGGCATTGATTTAAAGCCTTTCAAATCCCTCTGGCAAAATAAAAGAGAAGGAGAGGGAGAATTATTCTCCATCACACTAGGAGAAAAATGACGGGCGTGAAACAGAAAATAAATGAGGGGAAAGCGGAGAGAATCCACAAAATCATCAAACAGGAAAGACTGTGGTTTTTTTTAAAAAAATACCATAATGAAACATTAATCTTCTGGGGAGGAGGGGAAATAGCAAAGGTCTCTCGTCCAAGTTCACTGTGTAGAAATTAACTCTCAGTTACCTTAACTGGCCTTTGAGCTCCCCCTCTCTCCCCCATCCATGAACAAACTTCGCTCCCTGAGTGCCCCATCAGTCTTGACAGGGCTCCAACTGCTTGTACTTCTGTTTCTGTTAGGGAAAATGTGTTGGCAACTTAACACGAAGTGGCTTTAATGAAACATGAAATCAATTGTGCATGTGCTGATCAAATACAATTTATTTCTATGTAATTAAAAAGTAATATAATGACTTCAAAATTCCAAATCTGGTTCTCATTTAGAACTCCTGCAACCAGTCAGTTTCCATTTCAAGATGTTCAATTACAGATTGATTCACTGAAGTAAATTCAGCCACCTTTTCCCCCCACCTTGAAGTAACCTTTCCACTCTCCTTGTAGGAGTCATATCTTTGTTCTTTTTGTGTGTAATTTGTTGTTCGTTCCTACTGTGGTGTGATGGTTAGTGTCAGACTGTGAGCTGGGAGACCAGGGTTCGAATCCCTACTCAGCCATGAAGCTCACCGGGTGACCTTGGGCTAGTCACTGTCTCGGCCTAGTCTGCCATACATATGCCTTTTAACTCCTTGGAGGAAAAGGTGGTAAATAAATATAAGTAATTTAAATAAAATAAAATATAAACAGTCATTTTTGACCAGGTACCTGTAGTCCTGAAGATGACTTATTTTTCTAAGTCATCTTCAGGACTACAGGTACCTGGTAAAAAATGACTATTTATATTTTATTTTCCACACCATCAAAATAAAAAGCATGCCACTTTAAAATAGGTTTAAATAATAGACAATAAAAACAAACAGGCCAAAGCCAGAACAGCAGCAGCAATGAAAACATTTGCAGTTTACTCACCACCTGCAGGAAAAAGGTGGTCTTCAGAGAATTATTCTTAGCGGATGACCCTAGTCAGGGAGTTTCACAAGGGAGGTGCCACTGCAAAGAAGGCTCTGTCTAGTACAAAACAGAACATGAAACAAAGGAGCCTCTGTGTATCTTAAAAGATGAAGAGGAACATGGAGAACGGCACTTCCAAAAAATCATGGGCTGTTTGTCACATTTAGATGCATCTTCTGGTTTTGCAAATACTTCAGCATATATTCAGAAGTCTTTACAAATCAAGACATAGCGTATACAGTATGTATTTGCAGCAACTGTCCTGTATTCCCCTTTGGGGGTGATTTAAAAATAAAAGACAGTTTTATACAGTGCGATCCAAGTCAAATGGGAATCACATTGTGAGCATGAGATTGTGGGGCAACCAGTCATTTCTGACTACATGAGGATTTTATTGAGGGCAAACAATGCAACTTCATTGCCCTCATTCTGAATTAAAGAGACAGTGCAAGTTAAGACTATGATACAGAGTAGAGCAGGGACACGTTCACCATTCAGGGTTAGGGCAGTAAGAGGGTTTCATTTGTCGTTAGTGATGTTCCGCAGTAGCCAAATCTGATTTGGTACATAGCGATGTCACAAAGAGCAGAAGAAACCCTCTCATGGAACTCACCATGAATGGGGGAGCAAAGAAGGAATTAATTTTTTTGTCAAGGCAACCTGGCTGATTAATTCCCTTTTCTACAGACACCTGCCTCTGAATAAAGCAATGAACTTTCTTTTGCATCCTTTCTAATCTCCCCCTTTCACCCAGTGGACATACACAGTTGGCAAACAGAAGTTGCATCTCAAGGAATACAAAGACCTTTGCAGCACTCTGCCAGCAAACTGAAATGTTGCAAATATTTGCAAATTAATTGCAATATACAAATGAGCAGTGTCCTTTACCAATTAGCATGAGTTGTGCAGGGTTGTACTAAAGTAACCATGATTGCAACTATGTTTGGATATGATAGTGTGCTTTATTTTTTAGATCATTTTTTGTTTGTTTCTTTTCAACTTCAACGTAACAATAACCAAGGAAATAAACAAGGGAAGAGCCAATAGAAATCACAGGTTCGTGCGAGCACAGAAGTTACATTTGAAAACAAGAGCAAAATGGAAAGAAAAACCCACTAGGCAAAAATAAAAATAAATGCAGTGTTATAACAGGAGCCATGGGAAAAATATCTGAGGATATGGTCTGTCCAAAAAGGAAAGTGATCATTTGGTGGGCAGCTAGTACATCCAGGTTGAGTTAGAAAGATTAGAAAATGCCACAAAGCTGTGACAGGGTGTTTTGAAAAAAACAAACAAAATTATTTTTTTAAAGGGAAGGACATGCAAAAAAAAACAAAAAACATTTTGAACATCTTTGATGATTTAATGTGTTTTAAACTCCCCAAATTTCATGGCCTCCCATCTTAACTGAAATGCTGTAAGTGGAATGATCCTTTGCCAGGAAGGGGCAACAGAATTCTGATTCTCCTACATTCAGTTATTCTGTTTTGCTTGGACATTTTTTCACTGGCACATCAGCCATGGTGACTCTTGCTGTACCACGAAAAAACATCAGGACAGCTTCTTCAATGAGACTGTGTTGTGTACTTAAGTGATTGGAATCAGAGTCATGCTTCTATTCCGCATCTTTTCTGTTTCATGCTTCAGTTTAGAAGCCAGCTATACAGATGTACAAAAAAAATGAAAAGGGATTTATTTATTTTTGGTCTCTTATCAATATACCATCACTCTTTTGATCTCTGTAGGTGGTTGCTTTTGACCCAGACCTGGCAGAAAACGGTTCCCTCGTGTACAGCATTAGACCGCCAAATAAATTCTACAGTCTTAACAGCACCACAGGGAAGATTCGGACAACAGGGGTTGTCCTGGACAGAGAAAATCCAAACCCCCAGGAAGCTGAGCTCATGAGGAAGATTGTGGTCTCCGTCACTGATCGTACGGCTTGCTTCAATTGTTCTGTGAATACTTTAGCGCTCCGTTAACTACCTGCTATACGTTCTTACATACTAGCTGTCACATTCTTATATATTTTGTGCTTTTGATTTAAAAAAAAAACCACATCCCTCTATAACTTTTCCCCATAATAGGTACATAGCAGGAGTAGCAACAATTATAGATTGCTTAAAGTTAGATAAATGCTAGCTTCTACACTCTTACTTCTGCAATTTATTTTAACGGTTTTGTTATCGCTCTGACATTTCCCAAGTCTGATTTTTTTTTCATTGAAAGTGAATTGCCAATTACTTGAAGAGGAATGAACAGGGGTTTCTTCTTGATATATAGAGGTTCGCTAAGACAAAATATTAGAAACTTTCTTTTTCAATCTTTTGGGTGCTCGCGAAACTAGCTGTGACTCTTCTGATCTCTGCAGGTGGAAGACCACCATTGCGAGCCACCAGCAGTGCCACAGTGTTTGTAAACCTGCTGGATCTCAATGACAACGACCCCGCTTTCCAGAATTTACCTTTTATCACTGAGATTCCCGAGGGACTTCCAGCAGGGTCATCCGTTTTCCAGGTGAATCGGTGTTACTTTTGATTTCAACCATATACTTGCTGAAAGGTGTTTCTTTAAAAAAAACACCTGTTTGGGCTTCTGGTGCAGATGTAGTGATGAGTAGTAGTGGTACTTTCCTCACTGCAGTTTTACTGTAGCTTTCAGTAAAACCAGTGCCCCAGAATGTTTTAAGGCAGCAAATACCTCGTGCATTTTCTCACTGATGATCACACCTGACTTCTATCTACATTCTGTGCTACTTGTTGAAATAAGCCAAGAGGAAGTTGAGAAAGCTAAACCACACAGAGGAACTGATAGAGTGAAACCCCCTTGTGACATCAGATCATTAGTTCACTCGCTTTTCTTTACAGCTGAATGTGAGTTTGGCAGCCTTAGTCCGTCTCTCTCAGCGCAGTCTGTTCAAGAAAAAGGTGAACACATTCAAGGGACTAGTAGCGCTGGTTCTTTCGCCCCTCTGCATGTGATCTGAACTGTATTGCTTTGCCCTTAAGCGCAAAAAAAGGAGTTCCCATTAGTTCCAGTGGGACATCTTTTTGCAGTGCAAGTTGCAGGCACAGTGGGGCTGATCCCATCTCAGGAACAATTTTGGCAACGACTTTGTTTGATTTTTAATGAACCAGGTAGCACTAGGTAGCCCCACACTTGAGTTAAGGCCATGTGTAAATTTGGCCCTGAGCCCATGGGAAGTGATAATGTCATTCTGTTGGGATCTTCTTGGTTTCACCTTTATGAGAGGGGGGAAACTCATCAGAACGTTGTGCTTCACTTTTTGCTTTCTGTCTCAGGTGGTAGCCATTGACCTTGATGAAGGCTTGAATGGTCAAGTGACATACCGTATGCAGGTGGGCATGCCTAGGATGGACTTTGTCATCGACAGCAGCAGTGGTCTTATCAACTCCACAGCTGTTCTAGACAGGGAAAGGATTGCCGAGTACTACCTCAGGGTAGTCGCAAGTGATGCAGGAGTGCCGTCCAAGAGTTCTACCAGCACTCTCACGGTCAGAGGTGACTGAAGAGCCGAAACACTCTGGATGCTGTCTCACTGTTACTGCTGTGTCATTCTTTTTTTTAAAATAATAATAATAATAATAATAATAATAATAATAATAATAATAATAATGTATTTAGTGCGAGTGGTTCTCTGTATTTCAAATGGGATTTCTCGCCTTGTCTAATACCTTCAGATAATTTTCTGTGCTTAGGTTGAGTCAAACTAGGGCTTAAATCTGTGGTTCCCAGTGTGGGGCACCCCCCCCCCCACAATGGGGCAATTTATTTTTTTTGGGGGGGAGGGGCCAATTCAAGAATGAGTTCAACCAAGTTAATGGCCTTTTAGGCTTCCTCCGCGTGAATAGGAGTTCACTTTTTGAATAATAAGAATTATATGGCACAGGGGGAGGCATCAGGATTTTAGAGATGATTAGATGGGACATGGCCAAAAATAAGGTTGGGAACCACTGGCTTAAATGCTCAAGGATTGCCCAGCAGAGAGGCTGGGAAAATGCCCACCCAAAACAGCCGAGGGAGAGGAGGAGAAATGCGTAACTTGACTAGGGAGTAAAATTTAAAAGTTCTACCTTGTTGAAGATGCAAATTTTGATGCACACAACCCCACCCCCAAAAAGGCTCAGGCAAGGAGGTTTGAAAATCTCGCCCGGTCCTGCTGCTGCAGTTCCAGAATTTTTCCACAACAATTTTTAAACTGCCAAGAATGCTGCTGTCGCTCTTTAGGAGCCCTTCCTCCAACATTGTGAGGGCTAGGGCAAAGGTGGGCAAGCCTTGGTTTGATTTTGTGCAAGTGGCAAGGAGGGGTAAAAGGAGAGGGGCAGTCCAAAAGAGAAAGAGAGATTAAAAAAAAGAAAAGAATGGAGGCGGCAGAAAGAGAGAGGGAAGGTGTGCCTTCACCCCACTTCCCATGCTGTGCAAAGAGAAACCCTGGATAATGTGAGAGGAACCCATGCTCTAACTGTTCCCTGTGCTACCAACCCTCATGGGAAAGAGCAGCAGTATGGGTTCCTGGAGCTTTTCGCGATGAGCAGGTGGGCTGCAGCTCCCATTCTGCTAAAGCAATGCACTTTTTGTTTGTGTTGGCCATTCTCAGTTTGTAGCTGCTCTAGAAGTTGTTATGCGCATGGTTGTAGTGATGATAACAAAGAAGGTTGGGTAAGATCCAAAAGGGTTTGGAGGGCACTCTTTATTGGACCAACACAGCCACTCCAATGTTTAACCTCTTACTATTAGTTCATGTTTAAAATACTTTTTAAAATAAATAATAATAATTTATTTTAGGTTTGACCCCAAGTCATTTATAGCTAGTTTTTAAGGAGTTTTTAAATACAATCTATTATGCACTTTGGAAAGAGTTTCTGTTTGGTTATTCCAGATACTTTTCTGCTATACGATGATAGAAGAAAGTCTCCACAACTTTAACTTCAGGTGTCTAGGAATAGAACGCATTTGTATGTTTTGAAATGTTATGAACTTACCTCAGAATTGAAGAATCTCAATGATTAAAATGTTTATGATTCTCCCACAGTCCATTTCACCACTGCCTGTTTGCCCTTTTTCCTACTTCCTTGAATGGGCTTTTTTAGGGGGTAGCTGATGTGGCATAGTTCTGATCCCTAACTGAACTTCCAAGGCAGTCCCTAAGGTGGCGCAACGGGTCTGGGCACCTGGCTGTTAACCAGAAGGTTGGTGGTTCACGCCCACCAGGGACTTCCTAAATTGCAGGAAGGTTGGACTTAGATGCCCCTTGGGGGGTTCCTTCCAACTCTACAATTAATATTATTCTAATATGCATAGAAACAACAGGATGAGCAAACACATGGCTTCTTACAGTGGCTGACGCTCCACCTTTTAGCCGTGCTAGGTATGGCTTTGAAGCATGGCTCAGAGATGACCTTGATCAAATTCTCTCTTGTAGTTTTAGATGTGAATGATGAGAACCCCACCTTCTTCCCAGCTGTCTACAACGTATCGCTTCCTGAAAACGTACCTCGTGATTTCAAAGTGGTCCGCCTCAACTGCACCGACGCTGATGTGGGTCTCAATGCCGAGCTCAGTTATTTCATCACAGGTATCAAGTCTTTCTGGTGTACTTCAGCAGTAGAAGCCATGTAGTTCAGAGGGGGCAGAGAACACTGGTCAATCCTTATTGCTGTGTCCAGCTTTTTCTTCCTTTCAGATTTTAGCCTCTCCTAGGGTTGGCGCTGTGGTCTAAACCACTGAGCCTTGGGCTTGCTGATCAAAAGGTTGGCGGTTCGAATCCCCGCGATGGGGTGAGCTCCCATTGCTCGGTCCCAGCTCCTGCCAACCTAGCAGTTCGAAAGCACGCCCAAAAGTGCAAGTAGATAAATAGGTATCACTCCGGCGGGAAGGTAAACGGCGTTTCCATGCACTGCTCTGGTTTTGCCAGAAGCAGCTTAGTCATGCTGGCCACATGACCCGGAAAAACTGTCTGCAGACAAACACTGGCTCCCTCGGCCTGTAAAGCAAGATGAGCACTTCAACCCCAGAGCCATTCGCAACTGGACTTAACTGTCAGGGGTCCCTTTACCTAGGGTTGGCATTCGTCTGGAATTTCCCGGACATTGCCAGGATTTGCCTGACTGAAACAGTGCCCAGGCGGAAATCGCTGAAATGTCTGGGGAAATCTGGAAGTGTGGGTTTTGGTGAATTTCCTTAAAAATAGCTCAAAAACTTCAAAAAAAATTGAGATCTTGCAACCCTAGCTTCTCCTAGCCCCAAAGCTCAGGGTGGGTAACATTGAAAAGGTATAAAATCCTATTAGCGCAGAACAAAAATAAGCCAACTCTTGGTTTATTAAAGGTTTGGCCTCTTTCCCCTTAACTCCATGCAAAGGAAACCATCACATAATTCTGCTCCTCCACCTGTCACCAAGTAGTGCTCTTTCTCCTCTCCCTTCTCTTCCATACTTATTTGGGAGTGGTTCATAGCTATTTTAAACCACCCCCATTTCTCTAGCTTGATTCCTGGGGAAGCATCTCTTCCTTGGTCTGTAACCAGCCTCCTTTCCCCCCTTGGGAATCGGTTGTGGCACCGTGGTGCAGAGTATTGGTGCAAAGCAGTGTGGGGAAATTCATGTAAATGAAGACAGCCAAGGGGGCTTTTCATCCTGCTGTTAGGTTTGCAACAGCTAATTTGCATGGGGATTTGCATATGTTTCCCTATGATGCTTTGCAAATGATAGCAGAACTGTTTTGGGTTGTTTGCTCCTGAGAATTATCTATGCTTCATCAGACTGAAAGAGTCATCAGCTGCCTTATGTCTGCAGAATGTGGATATGACAATTTGAGAAAGGCATTGTCGCCGAACTCATTTGCAGTGCTTGCCGAAGTGCAGCCCGGTAGGCCATATTCTGATGTAGACAATGGCGTGAAAATAGGTCTTCATCTTCTTTGTAAGGAGCTACTTCCATATAGCAGATAAGCTCTGTGTATGTCCGCATTATTCTTTTGGAATTTTTATACGATTCCTCCTTCAGAATAGGTCAGCCACGTGTAGCAGGCTATCATTTCAAGTCCAGAAACAGGGTGGCCAACATTTGAGATACCTCTTTCTAAACAGGGCCATCTACATCATGGAACTGTTTGGGCCCTTACGGCGTTTGGGCCCAATATGGCGCACGATGCAGCCTGTGTCTCTGTGCACAACCTGTAGTAGTTATATTTTTGAGTGGTAAACAATAAGGGCAGCCTGCCTCTCTAAATGACAGTTTCCTAAACCATGTTTTTGACAGTTGGGATAAGCAAAAACAAGCTGTGCAGCATCTGAGCTGCTGTATGAAAGCAGCACTTCCTGGAAGACTTTGGCCATTCTGTGTGTGGATTAGTAACAATCCGCAGGAAGCATTACAAACATGCAACATAATCTAGCCAAAGTTGAGCCTCACTGACGTCAGCGGAAAATATTTATGTATAATAGTAATAATAATGATAATTTATTCCTTATACTGCATACATCTGGCTGGGTTTCCTCATCCACTCTGGGCGGCTCCCAACAGAATATTAAAAACACTATAAAACATCAACCATTTAAAAACGTCCCTCAGCATCCATGACATACGTATGTTGTGTGTGATTCTGACTAGCTCAGTTTGTGAACCACCAGGCCAAATGCAGCCTGTTACGTACACATTATGGTCTGTTATGTGATTGACAATGTGTTATTCGCCCACCCCTTGACACCCACCCACCTGGGTTTTACAGATAGACTTTTGTTTGTTTGTTTGTTTATACTGTAGTGGCCATTGTCAAAAATAAAATAAAATAAAAACTTGACCGACCCCCCTTTTTAAAGTTTTTTTGCAAGAAGCAAAAGTAGGTGATTAATTGACCTGTGACGAACTGTCATACATGGCTGATAGGGAATTTCAGCTTTCTGTGTCACAAGCTGGGCAGACCTGCGATCTCACTTTAATTGAAATCAGTGGGACCTAAAAGTATGCACACCTTACAATCCCACTGAAACCAATCAGGTATGAAAGTCCTGGCTCAGATCTTACCAAAAACAAATAAGTTTTCTTTATTGGGTGCCAATGTCCCCCGCTTGGATTATTGGACCTAGAGTGGCGTTCCACAAGCACATATTATTTCCGAAGGCTCTAAAACTTGTCTATTCTCGCCCTCTGCTGCTCAGAGTCCCCAATGACACTCTATATCTTTATTGTACCATTATCGGTTAATGTACAGTATTACATTATAGCAAGGAGGGGGAGTGAATCAAGAATCAATATGTTTAACGTAGATTGAAAGAAAGCATTGCACAATTATCAAGCCATGCAACCTTGGAAAGCCTTTAAAGCAATAAAGCCACCGTGATTCAACAGCAAATTAAAACAAGTGAGGCTGAGATGGAGTCCTTGAAATCTCTAATTTGGGCCAGCACTGGCAATATGGCTTGCATTTTGCTAGTCCATGTAAATTTTGAGCACTCTTAGAAATGCTTTTGGAAAACACACAATTCACACTGAATCCTTAAATGGCTTTAAATTTCTGTGAAGCGCTTAGGAGACAATCCTGCGGCAAGATCTACCAGGATGAGCACTTTAGGACGCAGCAGATCTCTGGATTACCAGACTGGTTACCAACTGGGGCGGGGAGGGGGCAGGACTGAGGCTGTGAAACATTATTTTAAATGCTTGCTGCTGCTGAACTTGGTATGGATCTGTTGTAACTTTACTCTGACTTAATTTACACTGGCTTGCTTTTTGCCAGTTTATTGTGCCGAGGACTGTTCCCATAGGCAAGTCTCCCATAATCCTGTCCCACAGGGACATAGGTGCTTTTGTGTCCTCTGTGTAAGTAATAGGAGATGTTTCTGCATTATAAGTGGAAGCCAGTTTCAGACCTATTTAGCTATTGGAGGTCTACCCAGGAACTATGGGAACTGTAGCACTATAAAGAGCCTAGATATGGCTGACTAAACTCAGGCCATGATGGTCAAAAAGTGCCTGTAACAAGTTTATATTTGTGTATATAACAACTAAAACATGTAAAACGTAATTGGAGCGTGTGTGCTCATTTTTCTTGAATTTTTGAATCCACTTTTCATTCCAGAACTTTGATCAGGAGTCCCTTGGGAATGATGTTGTTGACCTTTTTGTGTATTGATGTACCGCAGTCAGAACTAAAACTGTAAAAATTTCTTGTAGCGAAAGACATACTCAGGGCAAAAAGACTGACTGGGGTGGATAAATCATTCCAAAAGCATTATCTTTCACATCTTGTGTACAGAGTGATTGACATGTAGTGTTTGTAGGTGGTCATGCACATAAATGTATGTATGTACATTGAAGAAGAGCATGTGCTTTCTGAAGATCTTAGTTCCACATTTCATATTCCTAAATACAAGTGTGTGGTTTTTTAAAAAAAATCTGTGCCCTCATTCTTCTTTGAATTCCTTCTTCTTCTTTCCTTTCCTCTGTTTTTATAGGTGGGAACCAGGATGGAAAGTTCAGTGTCGGTTATAGGGATGGAGTAGTTCGAACAGTCGTCAGCCTGGATAGAGAAACCATCCCATACTATACGCTTATCCTGGAGGCCATTGGTAAGGATTCCTGTGGACCGCTTTTGTTTCTGTTGAGAGCCAGTGTGGTGTAGTGGTTAAGAGCGGTAGTCTCATAATCTGGTGAACCGGGTTCGCTTCCCCGCTTCTCCACATGCAGCTGCTGGGTGACCTTGGACTAGTCACGCTTCTCTCAGTCTCTCAGCCCCACTCACCTCACAGAGTGTTTGTTGTGGGGGAGGAAGGGAAAGGAGAATGTTAGCCGCTTTGAGACTCCTGAAGGGGAGTGAAAGGCAGGATATCAAATCCAAACTCTTCTCTTCTTCTGTTATCTGAGCAACTGATATGTCTCTTCCAGACTGCCTCATTTGGGGTGCAATGGAGGAAACAGTTTGCAAAGGATTCGTACAAATTAATGGTGCAATCTTCTGTTGCCATTTCTGAAGTTTCCCTTCCAATTCCATTAGCAAATCTCCATCACCGTATGAAGCGAGATGGTTTTGTTAACCACTTCCAGTTAGCCTGGGCCTTCTACACACCTTTCTCTCATGTTCTGTAAAGAAGCTCCTTTGTAGCTTTAGATGAGGGAAATTCTGTGTCTGATTAACTTGCTAATGATAATATTCCCCGGAGTACTGTGTAGTGAAATGCAGCCAGTCGCTACATACTTGGGTTGAATGTAGATTAATGAAGACAACTAGCACAATCAATGGGATTTAAGTGCTCAACAATGTCTACTATTGATCACAAAGAATTTTTTCCATGTAGTGCAAATTTATGAAAGACTTGACGTTATTTGAAATGGAATATAATTGGTAAGATTAAACATCTTTGTGGTATTAATAATTCTGCAGTTTCATACTGATGCTTCACTCAAGTTAATATACATCTTTCACAGGCTTTTCAAGAAAGCTCAAATAAAAAATATTGTAAAACAATTACAGTGAATTTGACATACATTATAATCAAACCCTTCATGGATCACTGCCTTGCCGTGGCGAAGGGGCTTGAAGAACTCAGAGAAGCTATGAACTACGCCGAGCAGGGCACA